ACAGGTGTGAGCCACTGCGCCTGGCCCAAAAACCCATAATCTTTTAAACAGCTTTCATGCAGCTATTAAATACAAAAAACAAAGCTCTGTAAATTAAGAAAAATTATGAGAAGATTCTAATGTCAATGAACCTACAAATGTTTAAAATAATAGTCTTTCCTCTTGGAATCAGATTTGACAATAGGTTATAACTATTACTATTTGTCTCTCAATTAAAGACTATTTTAAAGCTTTTGGTGGACAATTCTAATCAAGCTAAGAAAAAGTAATTTATTTATAATTACTAACAGTGTAGAAACCCAGAATTTCCAGACGGAACTAGGTTTTTAGTAATAGTTTAGCATCCAAGAAATGCATTATATCTAATGCATAGAAACCTTTTCTTAACAGAAACATTTCATTTCATTAATAAGCCATTCCAGGGAGAGTGCTGTGAATCAATTTTTAAGCAGTAGCTACATCTCATTTAACTAAAAATGTGATTTACTTACTGATGAGAATTCAAAGAATTATACAGGGCTGTCCAAATTTCAACTGCTATCTCTGTGGAAGTCAACCACCTCTCAGATGTTATGTGAATCAAGTGGTCAATTTAAACTGCTAATTGAAGCTCAATTTATTCTGGCCTACCTGGGAAAGTAGAATCAAAAGGAAGATATTTATGGGAAAAGCTGAGATTTTATTTGATTATTTCACTCCTAAATAGTCCAAATGAGTTGCTAAGAGCTTCCAAAAGCACATTTTTCATTAAATGTTGTACTTTTTTCTAAAGACTATACTCTCTGCTCTCTGAGGATGCAAGGTTTCTCAAAGAATCTAACAATTTATTTTGAGCATCTGTGATATTTAGGTTCTCATTTGTTTCTTAGTAGTATAGAGTTTACACAATTAGCTTTACCCATACTAATTTAATTGCAACTCTTGGGTCTAATGTGCTATTAGAACTGTTTGTTAGACTTATGGATGCCTCCCATCAAAATATAATGAATATTTCCACCCCTTAACTGCTTCCTCTTTGAGAAATATTTTGTAGTTCTTCAAAGAATTCCTTCGATGATAAGAAAATCCTATATCCTTCCTTCCAGGAAAATAGGGTATAATAGCCCACAATGTGTATGTGTCTGTGTGTGCGTTTGTGGGCAGGTGCATGTATCTATATATGTAATTGAAGATCTTTTCTGTCATTCAGCTGCTTGGTCATCACTATGTAAAATTTTCCCCAGAGATAGTTAATACAAAGGGACAAAAAAAGTAACTTGAGAATTGGATTTGCTTTTTGAGTCATGTGCCCGGGTATTCCTTTTCCAATGAATATTTGTGCACGTGAAAAGCCTTTATAAGGAAAAATGGGAAAAGCAAAATTTAGGGGAAAAAAAGAAATTGGATAAGAATGAGGATGATGAGTAAGTGAAGACAGAATGCTGGTGAAAAATTAGCTTATTTTTTGTTTTCACATAAAAATACAGTGAATTTTTTAAAAAAGTTTTTATTAAAAACCTTCTATGAGAAATACATACTCTATGTTTAACTCAATTATTTACTGTTGTGAAATTATGATGCTAGTAAAGCCAAATATACTGCACTGACTTTTTAAATAGTAAAGTTAGTTCCAACTGATTATTTAGACATTATTGTTTCAATGCAGTGTTCATATATTTTTTATTTATTGTCATATTATCTTGAATATGAATGCCATTTGTTGCTAGAGAAACAGATTATTTAATGCTAATCTTTCTTTTTGGTAGTCTCCAAGCATAGATAGCTGTATATTCTTATAACAGGGATAATAAACAATATAGTGAATAGAGTCTGAACTTTGGCATCTTGAGTGTGGGTCCTGGCTCAACTACTTCATGTATTTGTGATTGCAACAAAGGTATTCCTTTTGTCTTCATCTGCAAAATGGGAATAGCACCTCTGCTATTAGGATATTGAGAGAAGTTCAACGAAATGGTATAAATAATACATCAATATAGTATCTGTCTCATAATAGGCATTTAGTATATTTTTGCATGTTTAAAAATGGGATGTGGAATATATACATTCTAATAAAATGTCTAATACATTTAATCCAAATACAGTAGAAAATTATGCAATTTTGACATATTATATGATTTAAACATCTTGGAATAATCCTTTATCAATGGTATAACCAGTTCATGTGTCAATTAATATTTTCTAACTTTATGTATTATGAAAAGAAGCATCTTTTTAGAGGAACTTTGAGTACTATAGCAGACTGGGGCAAGGAATAAGATTTAGTCTGATATCCAACTTACCTACTTTGAAGCTAAGTATACTTGGGAGTTATGAAACTTCTCTAAATCTCAGATTTTAGCTGGGGGATATTTAGTACTATTTGCAACTATTAAGAATTAAATAAGATAATGTATGAATGGCTCCAGCAAATAGTATGGGCTCAATAAATTTTAATTTTCTTCTTTGATGCATCTAGCGAGATTTACCTCATTTTCAAGGAAACATATTTCTATGAAAGTTTATGCTTACATAATTTCAAATGGTAATCTGAGTGGTATGTTATTGGCAGAAGTGAAGAAATATGAAAGTGTTCTCTTAATTAAGCTCCTAGGACAGTCACATGGGGCACCCAAAAATAAGTATGATCCTATCATTAAAGACAGACACATAGAAACAATCACCTGCAAAATCTGGGGACTACCTAAGGTATCCATAGTAGGAAGGCATGGGCAATTTTATTTTTCTGCACAACTCCAGAAAGTTGAGGAGTCATGATGATTTTTCCACTCTTTAATAAAGACAATCATTTTCTGTACATGAATGTTCTAATTTAGACAAGAGGCAGACAGTTGCAAGAGATATGTGAAGACATATTTCAGTTTTATTATCTTTTAGGCATAGACGGATATGTTAATCCATTTCCACATACAATTCCTATAATCACATATAGGGAAGTGAACCTTGAACTGGCAAAAACCTGTCTCCTGTTGCCAAAGAGTTAAAATTGGAGAGTCAAAACCTCAAAAGTTGAAGATTGTGAATTCTTTTCCTTCCCAGTTTCGCTGTGCATATGGCTGCTGTTCCACAAGTAAGCCTTCCTCTCTACCCAGGCGTTCAATGGTAATGTCGTTCCTTTTTTCCCAGAAAACTTTCTGCTCTCGGTCCAGAGCTCTGAGTTTTCCATGTTCTGCTTTCTAGGTTCTGACAGCTGTTTTAGGACTTAGTTAACCATTGCAAGTGGAAGCCAAAAATAATTGTAGTATAATCTCTCTATCTATTATCATGTTGCTTCTTTTTGCAAATATATCTTAGGAGTTAGACTTTAAACCTTTGATCTCCCACACCAGAAAAAAAAAAAAGAAAAATATTTATATGGAAGTAATTTCATTTTAGTGTTCATGTTTTATTG